CGGCTAATTAAACAAATTAAGAATAGGCTACTTTTGTGCAATTAATTTACACGAATCAAATTATGGTATTTATACTTTGTTTTTGAAGCAAACTCAAACATGCCGGAAAAGAAAGAAAATAACAAACAACAGCAATACCAAAATTCGATTGATATGACTATATTTGTACGCGATATGTTTCTGGAATAACCTTTAACAGGTGAATTCACTCTCTGTAATACTCAGTTTCACATATTTCACACTTGTTTATATAATATCTTATAAAACAAAACAAATCCAGTAGCGATTAATGTTCATTTATATAAGTAATGGTCTTCTTATATTGTGTGCAGACTACAATTGTTTGAAGTTATTTCAGCATATAGCAGATATTCAAAGAACTATTATCGGTGGAAGTTTTCCTGAATAATGCAAAAAATCTACTAAAATAATTCTGAAATCGCTCAAGGCTTGTTTCCAATATAAGAAAAGTACATTTTTTTTAACAAAGGTGAACATGCCGATGTATGTGTCTCGACCGCTTCGCTTGGTATGATTGAATCGTATGTAAAAATACCATAACCTAACATTATTAATGATCCTTTAAAATGAGGTCAAAGTCAGATGAACTCTGCAAGACGTACGTGAACACCTTACAACAAATATATTTAAAAGAGGGACGAAAGGTACCAGAGGGACATTCAAACTCACAGATCGAAAACAGACTGACAACGCCATGGCCAAAAATTAAAAGGCAAACAAACAAATAATAGTACAGATGACACAACATAGAAAACTAAAGACTAAGCAACACGAACCCCACCAAAAACTGGTGGTGATCTCAGGTGCTCCGGAAGTACCTATTTCTTTTATTTGAGAAACGGAACTAACCACGAAAACTTAACATTGAAAAATGATCAATGGAAATAAAGTAAAGGTCAGAGGAATCTTGTCAGACACACATGTACACCTTACAACAATTACATGCACCAAATATAGTTGACCTATTTCTTATAAATCTCAAAAATCTTTAAATTGACACAGGATCAATAAAAATGATGTTAATGTAAAAGAAACCCCGCAAGACGGACCTGTACACATTACAATCAGTCAATTCACCAAATATATTTGACCAACTACTTATAGTATCTTAAAAACAGACCTCGTCATGAAAACTTTAAAATTTACCAATGAACATTTACCAATGAACAATGGAAATGAGGTCAATGTCAGTCGAATCTTGTCAGACGGACGGACATGTACACATTGCAATCATTCCATGCACAAAATATGGTTGACATATTGCTTACATAATATCATATAAACTCATCATAGATACCAGGATTAAAATTTTGTACGCCAGACGCGCGTTTCGTCTTCAAAAAAGCCAAATATAGTAGGAAGTTGACCAATAGCATTGAAAACCCAGATTTCCGAAAGGTTTTGCCAAATACAGCTAGGGAAATCTATTCCTAGGGTAGAAAATACTTAGTATTTCAAAAAATTCTAAGTTATGTAAATATTTAATTTATAATTATGACCATATCAATGATAATTCGTGTCAACATAGAAGTACTATCATGTTTTTCTCGGACAGTTAACGCCGTCTTTACGTCTCCTACAAACGGGTCTAATCACGAAAACTAATCTTTGGTCAATGATCCATGAAATGAGGTGAATGTCAAACTTATCAGCTGTTTCTGAAATCTCTCAATAGCACGGACTTAGCGTGATGGACACAATAAAATAGTTAGTTCGTCCAAAGGTCTGACGATTTAAAAACGTTCTGGCCACTCACAAAGCTACAGTAGTTCTTAGGGAGCACATTTTGACCTTGCTTTTCAAATTTTGTGCCGCTTTTAATTTCTTTGTTCTAGTCAGTGGTCAACCTGTTGAATGTTGTAGCTGCTCTGTGCATGCAGGACTTTCTATAATTGTTTGCTTTAGTTTAACAACAAATGTTCTAGAAAGGTTAGGGTGTTATGTGGAGTTGACTGGTTTGACCACAAAAAAGATTGTAAGCCTGTAAGTCTTGCTATCAGAACCACGTGTTGTTCGTTGTTGTTTGTCTTTGTTTGTATGTCTAGATTTTTTCTTCGGAGAAGGGTTTTGGTGGTTCTGTTATTTCTATTTAATATGTTATGTCGTTTATAAGGAAAGTTTTTTGTAGGCGAACCAGTAGTGTGAACCTTTCGTTACCTCTTTTGTAAGTGAACCAGGTGTGTGAACTGTTAGTTTCCTCTTTTGTAAGTGAACTAGGAGTGTAAACTGTTTGTAACCTCTCTTGTACGTGAACCAGGTGTGTGAACTATATGTTACCTCTTTTGTAAGTGAACCCGAAGTGTAAACTGTTTGTTACCTCTCTTGTACGTGAACCAGGTGTGTGAACTGTTTGTTTCCTCTTTTGTAAGTGAACTAGGAGTGTAATCAGTTTGTTACATCTTTTGTAAGTGAACCAGGTGTGTGAACAGTTTGTTTCCTCTTTTGTAAGTGAACCAGGTGTGTGAACTGTTTGTTACCTCTTTTGTAAGTAAACTAGGAGTGTAAACTGTTTGTTACCTCTTTTGTACGTGAACCAGGTGTGTGAACTGTTTGTTATCTCTTCTGTAAGTGAACAAGGTGTGTGAATTGTTTGTTACCTCTTTTGTAAGTAAACTAGGAGTGTAAACTGTTTGTTTCCTCTTTTGTAAGTAAACCAGGTTTGTGAACTGTTTGTTATCTCTTTTGTAAGTGAACTAGGAGTGTAAACTGTTTGTTGCCTCTTTAATAAGTGAACCAGGTGTGTGAACTATATGTTACCTCTTTTGTAAGTGAACCAGTAGTGTGAACTGTTAGTTACCTCTTTTGTAAGTGAACCAGGTGTGTGAACTGTTTACCTCTTTTTTACGTGAACCAGGTGCGTGAACTATATGTTACCTCTTTTGTACGTGAACTGATGTGTAAACAGTTTGTTTCCTCTTTTGTACGTGAATCAGGTGTGTGAACTGTTTGTCACCTCTACTCTTACTAAGTTTGTAAGACAAATAGGAATGTGTACAGTCTGATCTCTCTACTGTGTGTTTTCTATTATGTAAGTGAATAAGTAATGTGTAATGTTAGTTCTATCTATTGTAAGTGAACAAGGAGTGTGTTCTGTCTGTTCTGTCTATTGTAAGTGAACTAGGAGTGTGTTCTCTCTGTTCTATTTATCGTAAGTGAACAAGGAGTGTGTTATGTCTGTTCTATCTATTGTAAGTGAACAAGGAGTGTGTTCTATCTGTTCTCTCTAATGTTAGTGAACAAGGAATGTGTTCTGTCTCTGTTCTATCTATTGTAAGTGAACAAGGATAGTGTTCTGGCTCTATTCTATCTATTGTAAGTGAACAAGGAGTGTGTTCTGTCTGCTCTCTCTAATGTAAGTGAACAAGGAGTGTGTTCTGTCTGCTCTCTCTAATGTAAGTGAACAAGGAGTGTGTTCTGTCTGTTCTCTCTAATGTAAGTGAACAAGGAGTGTGTTCTGTCTGTTCTCTCTAATGTTAGTGAACAAGGAGTGTGTTCTGTCTGTTCTGTCTATTGTAAGTGAACTAGGAGTGTGTTCTCTCTGTTCTATTTATCGTAAGTGAACAAGGAGTGTGTTATGTCTGTTCTATCTATTGTAAGTGAACAAGGAGTGTGTTCTATCTGTTCTCTCTAATGTTAGTGAACAAGGAATGTGTTCTGTCTCTGTTCTATCTATTGTAAGTGAACAAGGATAGTGTTCTGGCTCTATTCTATCTATTGTAAGTGAACAAGGAGTGTGTTCTGTTTGCTCTCTGTAATGTTAGTGAACAAGGAGTATGTTCTGTCTGTTCTATCTATCGTAAGTGAACAAGGAGTGTGTTCTATTCTATCTATTGTAAGTGAACAAGGAATGTGTTCTGTCTGTTATCTCTAATGTAAGTGAACAAGGAGTGTGTTCTGTCTGCTCTCTCTAATGTAAGTGAACAAGGAGTGTGTTCTGTCTGCTCTCTCTAATGTAAGTGAACAAGGAGTGTGTTCTGTCTGTTCTCTCTAATGTAAGTGAACAAGGAGTGTGTTCTGTCTGTTCTCTCTAATGTTAGTGAACAAGGAGTGTGTTCTGTCTGTTTTCTCTAATGTTAGTGAACCCAGATTGTGTTTTGCCTGTTCTTTCTATTTTATATCAAACAATAAAATAAATACAATGTGTTTGCTATGGGGTAATTATTACTTAAAGTACAAGATTATGTCTCACCAACTTCAAACAATGTTAAAGTTTTAAATTATCCCTTTTATTAGTGTTTTGGTCAGATTTTAAGGTTCACTGAACATGAATAAGTTACAGTGGTGTGAGTGAAGCATAGTGTCATATAGGCTTAATTTTTGTTTGTTTTCTTTTGTTTTGGTGTTTGAGGGCATTTCTTCTATGCATATTATTTCTTTTTTTTATATATAAATCCATAAACAAGAGTGCAAATGCTGACATGTCTCCCCTGCTTTATTTATGATTGAATTTATGTTGAAAGTTTGTAATATGAAGGTTTTACTACAAATATCACATAAACTTTACATTATCAATGTTCTATGAAAAAGAGGTCATGCTAAGATAAACCATGTCAGACAGATATTACAATCATTCCATACACCAAATATAATTGACATATTGTTTATAGCATATGATAAACTGACAAAACCACAAAACTTATCATTGACCAATGAACCACGAAAATGTGGTCAAGGACAATGGACATATGACTGACTGAATCTTCATAACATAAGTTATCTGCATACAAGGTATGAAGCATCCAGGTCTTCAACCTTCTGAAATATAAAGCTTTAAACAAATAGTTTATGCTGGCGCATGAATGTAATCCCTATGTCTCGCATTCTGCGACTTTCATTGCAGGCAAGACAACAGGCAAGACTAAAACTCTGCCAAATCATTAGTTATTAATCTTATATTGTAAAAAATCATGAGCCTTGGAATTAACATATTGCTGTGGGGATGTGTGTGGGTGTGTGTTGGGCTTCTTAAATTGCTGAGATTCTTTTTTCAAATTTTATTGAAAATATTAAAAACAAAAACAATTCATATATATAGTACATATAAAATACAATAAATATCACAATATCAAAAAGTTTATTCCTTCTTCTTTTTATATGGCGCAAAGGGATCTGACCACACCTTCATATCTGAAAAAATAAACAAATAAATCTCAATTTACATTTAAATTCACATCATCAAAACTATTAATCTATTCACATTCTCGTACATGCTCACAAAATATTTTTTGGGTTCATAACTACATTTTGCAAGAATGCATGAAAAAAATATCTGTCATTGTAACATATGCTTACAGAAAGTAGCAATAGTATACCTGAGCAAGCTTCAGTCAACATTTGGCATAAATGGCATAGGCCAAAACATCTCAGTTTACAGCAAAAAGAGAAGAAACATATGAATTCTGGTGGTAAAACATTACATGGTCATTTTGGTTAATTAAGGAATATACATTTCAATGAAAAAAAAAAAATCTGCCACAAAGTTCTTTATTTCTGGTCATCATACAAGCTTAAAAACTTGTGCATCTGCCATCATACAGAAAATCATGGATTCTCCAGGCCAATCTGCTGGTGACATCCATGGATATTTCAATTTATTTTAACTGAATTTGGTTTATTTCAAATAATCATAAATGAATAATAGAAGCTCTTAAATGCCCTTAATGTATACAACAGTCAGAGATATAACTTAAACAAGAAACTTTTAAAGATAACCTATACGACTTACTGTAAACCAACTAATTTTCACGAGCGATTTATTTTCGTGACTTTTGCAAGTAGAAAAATAACGCGAATATAAATCGTCGCAAATATGTAAAACTTGGATTTTTCTTTTTTTTATCTACATCAAGTAAATTTGAAAATCACGAAATTAAATTGCCGTGAAATAGGCTAGAAAGAGATAAACGTGAAATAAAGTATCCGCGAAAATAAGTTGGTTTACAGTATGTTGAAAAAGAGGCTCTTTTAAATATTACTTATATAAGTTTCTTTTGTAAATATCATTTTACAGAGGTGTCAATTCACACATATTTTTCTAGCATACACAAATCGTGTCAGACACATGGTCATTTTCCCCATAAAGTATAGAAACTAATCCTCCTGAAACACTATTAGTGCCTTCCAAACACACTTACACTTAATATTGACCCTTCTGGGTCAAAATATTAAAACTACACTTCATAAATTTATGTGTCCAATGTGCTTTTCTTGATTTACATTTTTGTACCTTCATAAGAGATGCTCACAGCCAATTGTTTGAAAACCAAAAATGTATAAGAACCTAAACAGTTGTAGAGCTATATGACCATAAAGGTCTATTGGGACTTTTAAAATATAAGGAGTTTACTAATGATTTCAGTCATCTAGACTTATTTGTAGATCCTATTCTGCTCAGTTTTTAAATGTTTATATTTTTTTCTATATCTACAATAGGTAACTATTTCAACAAAAAATAACACTAAAATGAATAAATTTGTCATTCAAGGGCAATAACATCTATTTGAAAGAGCTGACTGACAATTTTGACCATGTTGTAGATCTTGTCAGGCTGATTATTCTTCATTTTTGTAGATCTTGTCAGGCTGATCATTTTGCAATTGACAGTTTAACTATATTTATTATTGCTTTAAAGAATAAAGCCAATTTGCAAACAAATTGTAACAAGCATTCTGACGGTATTGCATGGCAATACATAGTCCCCTACCGGATAAAAATTCATTGTACTTGAACAAAATGATAACTAGATCTATAACATGTCATGGTGTAAACTTTAAAACAAATATCAAATTAATATCTTCAAGCATAACAAAATAAACTGCTTCGCTGAGCACAGCTGGATACGCCCACAGAGGTCCAACCCTGAACAGTTGGGGCAAAAATGGACACAATATTCAAGTTTGATACAGGTCTGAATTTGGATTGTAATTTAATATTTGACATATTATAGGTTTCTGAATAAATGTAGTCAAAGAACTTGAAATTGGTTATATGAATTGAATTTATTTTCAATTAAAGATTTCTTGCTGTTGTGCAATACTTAGTAAATCTGTTGTCAGACTATAAACAAATAAAGTTCAATTTCTTCTCAATGTCATATTTGAAATTTATGAAAATCAATAGGGAGATTACATCAATAGCTATAAATAATTCACCAAAGTTTCATGAGAACTGCTGAAAGCATTTTTGAGTTATTGTCCAAAAACTGGAAAATCCCCGCTTTTTTAATGAATAAACCCCATAACTCAGAAATGTAAAATCTAAAATTTATAAAATTCTAAAGGGAGCTTAAATCAACAGATATAAACAATTCACCAAAGTTTCATCAGAACTGCTGAAAGCATTTTTGAGTTATTTTCCGAAAACTGGAAAATCCCCCTTTTTTAATGAATAAAACCCTGTAACTGGGAAACGTAAAATCTAAAATTTATAAAAACTAGAGGCTCTCAAGAGCCTGTGTCGCTCACCTGACTCTACTTTGGTTTTAGAAATCATGTAAAGATAGATAAAAATCATAACAGATACCTAAATAATGATTGAGGCCAAATTTTGATTAATATTGGTCCCGTTATTTAATAAAATATCCTGGTGGCCATCTTGAACAGTAAATCGGCAACAAAGTAGCAACACTTGGTCAGCACTTCATAAGGAACATTCATGCCATGTTTGGTTCATTCCATTCAGTGGTACTCTAAAAGAAGACATTTGTATGTATTTCCAATAGGGTCCTATGTTAAACTAAGCCCCCCCCCCTTAGCGGCCATCTTGGATGATGGATCAACTGCAAAGTAACAACACTTGGTCTGCAACTCATAAGGAACATTCATGCCATGTTTGGTTCAATTCCATTCAGTGGTTCTCTAAAAGAAGACAATTGTATGTATTTCCCATAGGGTCCTATGTTAAACTAAGTCCCCCGCTGGCGGCCATCTTGGATGATGGATCAGCTGCAAAGTAACAACACTTGGTCAACATCTCATAAGGAACATTCATGCCATGTTTGGTTCCATTCCATTTATTGGTTCTCTAAAAGAAGACATTTTTATGTATTTCCCAAAGGGTCCTATGTAAAACTAAGTCCCCCGCTGGCGGCCATCTTGGATGATGGATCGGCTACAAAGTAACAACACTTGGTCAGCATCTCATAAGGAAGATTCATGCCATGTTTGGTTTCATTCCATTCAGTGGTTCTCTAAAAGAAGACATTTGTATGTATTTCCCATTGGTCCTTTGTTAAACTAAGTCCCCTGCTGTCGGCCATCTTGGATGATGGATCGGCTACAAAGTAACAACACTTGGTCAGCACCTCATAAGGAACATTCATGCCATGTTTGGTTTCATTCCATTCAGTGGTTCTCTAAAAGAAGTCATTTGTATGCATTTCCCATAGGGTCCTATGTTAAACTAAGTCCCCCGCTGGCGGCCATCTTGGATGATGGATCGGCTACAAAGTAACAACACTTGGTCAGCACCTCATAAGAACATTCATGCCATGTTTGGTTTCGTTCCATTCAGTGGTTCTCTAAAAGAAGACATTTGTATGTATTTCCCATAGGGTCCTATGTTAAACTAAGTCCCCCGCTGGCGGCCATCTTGGATGATGGACCGACTGCAAAGTAACAACACTTGGTAAGCATCTCATAAGGAACATTCATGCCATGTTTGGTTCCATTCCATTCAGTGGTTCTCTAAAAGAAGACATTTTTATGTATTTCCCATAGGGTCCTATGTTAAACTAAGTCCCCCGCTGGCGGCCATCTTGGATGATGGATAGGCTACAAAGTAACAACACTTGGTCAGCACCTCATAAGGAACATTCATGCCATGTTTGGTTTCATTCCATTCAGTGGTTCTCTAAAAGAAGACATTTGTATGTATTTCCCATAGGGTCCTATGTTAAACTAAGTTCCCAGATGGCAGCCATCTTGGATGATGGATCGGCTACAAAGTAACAACACATGGTCAGCACCTCATAAGGAACATTCATGCCATGTTTGGTTTTATTCCATTCAGTGGTTCTCTAAAAGAAGTCATTTGTATGCATTTCCCATAGGGTCCTATGTTAAACTAAGTCCCCCGCTGGCGGCCATCTTGGATGATGGATCGGCTACAAAGTAACAACACTTGGTCAGCACCTCATAAGGAACATTCATGCCATGTTTGGTTTCATTCCATTCAGTGGTTCTCTAAAAGAAGTCATTTGTATGCATTTCCCATAGGGTCCTATGTTAAACTAAGTCCCCCGCTGGCGGCCATCTTGGATGATGGATCGGCTACAAAGTAACAACACTTGGTCAGCACCTCATAAGAACATTCATGCCATGTTTGGTTTCATTCCATTCAGTGGTTCTCTAGAAGAAGTTCAAAATGTAAAAAGTTAACGCCGAGGACGGACGACGGACGCCAAGTGATGAGAAAAGCTCACTTGGCCCTACGGGCCAGGTGAGCTTATAAAAAGGGAGCTCATGTCAATAGATATAAACAATTCACCAAAATTCCTTGCAAGTTGGTGAAAGCATTTTTGAGTTATTGTCGGAAAACTGGAAAATCCCCTGTTTTTTAATGAATAAAACTCCAAAACTCGGAAACAGTAAATCTGAAATTTAAAAAAAAACGAAAGGGAGCTCACATCAATAGATATAAACAATTCACCAAAGTTTCATGCATATTGGTTAAAGCTTTTTTGAGTTAATGTCCGACATGTTGACGACAGACGGACGGACGGTCACAGTATACCATAATACGTCCCGTAAACGGGCGTATAAAAAAGTATGGGGAGATTATTCAAATCTTGAAGTGAAAATTAAAATCTTACTTCTACAAGTAAATATTACTTAAATCTTTATGTAAATGAAGATCATTGCTGCAAAAAAATTGTATTACTGTAAATTCAGAATTTATTGCTAGGTTTTTGTCGAGCCTTCGACTTTTTGTCGAAAAAGCGAGACATGGCGATCCTACATTCTGTCAGCGGCGGCAGTGTCCACAAATATTCACTCTGTGGTTAAAGTTTTTGAAATTTTAATAACTTTCTTAAACTATCCTGGATTTCTACCAAACTTGGACAGAAGCTTGTTTATGATCATAAGATAGTATCCAGAAGTAAATTTTGTAAAAAAACTAGAGGCTCTCAAGAGCCTGTGTCGCTCACCTGACTCTACTTTGGTTTTAGAAATCATGTAAAGATAGATAAAAATTATAACAGATACCCAAATAATGATTGAGGCCAAATTTGGTTTAATATTGGTCCCGTTATTTGATAAAATATCCTGGTGGCCATCTTGAACATTAAATCGGCAACAAAGTAGCAACACTTGGTCAGCACCTCATAAGGAACATTCATGCCAAGTTTGGTTTCATTCCATTCAGTGGTTAACTCTAAAAGAAGACATTTGTATGTATTTCCCATAGGGTCCTATGTTAAATTAAGTCCCCCCCTGGCGGCCATCTTGGATGATGGACTGACTGCAAAGTAACAACACTTGGTCAGCACCTCATAAGGAACATTCATACCATGTTTTGTTTCATTCCATTCAGTGGTTCTCTAAAAGAAGACATTTGTATGTATTTCCCATAGGGTCCTATGTGAAACTAAGTCCCCCGCTGGCGGCCATCTTGGATGATGGATTGACTACAAAGTAACAACACTTGATCAACACCTCATAAGGAACATTCATGCCATGTTTGGTTCCATTCCATTCAGTGGTTCTCTAAATGAAGACATTTGTATGTATTTCCCATAGGGTCCTATGTTAAACTAGGTCCCCCCACTGGCGGCCATCTTGGATGATGGACCGACTGCAAAGTAACAACATTTGGTCAGCACCTCATAAAGAACATTCATGCCATGTTTGGTTTCATTCCATTCAGTGGTTAACTCTAAAAGAAGACATTTGTATGTATTTCCCATAGGGTCCTATGTTAAACTAAGTCCCCCCCCTGGCGGCCATCTTGGATGATGGACTGACTGCAAAGTAACAACACTTGGTCAGCATCTCATAAGGAACATTCATGCCATGTTTTATTTCATTCCATTCAGTGGTTCTCTAAAAGAAGACATTTGTATGTATTTCCCATAGGGTCCTATGTGAAACTAAGTCCCCCGCTGGCGGCCATCTTGGATGATGGATTGACTACAAAGTAACAACACTTGATCAACACCTCATAAGAACATTCATGTCCTGTTTGGTTCCATTCCATTCAGTGGTTCTCTAAATGAAGACATTTGTATGTATTTCCCATAGGGTCCTATGTTAAACTAAGTCCCCCCGCTGGCGGCCATCTTGGATGATGGATTGACTACAAAGTAACAACACTTGATCAACACCTCATAAGGAACATTCATGTCCTGTTTGGTTCCATTCCATTCAGTGGTTCTCTAAATGAAGACATTTGTATGTATTTCCCATAGGGTCCTATGTTAAACTAAGTCCCCCCACTGGCGGCCATCTTGGATGATGGACCGACTGAAAAGTAACAACATTTGGTCAGCACCTCATAAGGAACATTCATGCCATGTTTGGTTTCATTCCATTCACTGGTTCTCTAAAAGAAGACATTTGTATGTATTTCCCATAGGGTCCTATGTTAAACTAAGTCCCCCGCTGGTGGCCATCTTGGATGATGGACCGACTGCAAAGTAACAACACTTGGTCAGCACCTCATAAGGAACATTCATGCCATGTTTGGTTCCATTCCATTCAGTGGTTCTCTAAAAGAAGACATTTGTATGTATTTCCCATAGGGTCCTATGTTAAACTAAGTCCCCTGCTGGCGGCCATCTTGGATGATTGACCGACTGAAAAGTAACAACACTTGGTCAGCACCTCATAAGGAACATTCATGCCATGTTTTGTTTCATTCCATTCAGTGGTTCTCTAAAAGAAGACATTTGTATGTATTTCCCATAGGGTCCTATGTTAAACTAAGTCCCCCGCTGGGGGCCATCTTGGATGATGGACCAACTGCAAAGTAACAACACTTGGTCAGCACCTCATAAGGGACATTCATACCATGTTTGGTTTCATTCCATTCACTGGTTCTCTAAAAGAAGACATTTGTATGTATTTCCCATAGGGTCCTATCTTAATCTAAGTCCCCCGCTGGCGGCCATCTTGGATGATGGATCGGCTACAAAGTAACAACACTTGGTCAGCACCTCATAAGGAACATTCATGTCATGTTTGTTTTCATTCCATTCAGTGGTTCTCTAGAAGAAGTTCAAAACGTAAAAAGTTAACGAAGACGCCGGACGCCAAGTGATGAGAAAAGCTCACTTGGCCCTTTGGACCAGGTGAGCTAAAAATCATATTTTTCCGTATTTTACTTATAAATGGACTTAGTTTTTCTGCCAGGAAACATTACATTCACTCCGTGGTTAAAGTTTTTAAAATTTTAATAACTTTTTAAAACTATCCTTGATTTCTACCAAACTTGGACAGAAGCTTGGTTATCATGGTTATGATCATAAGATAGTATTCAGAAGTAAATTTAAAAAAAAAAAATTCCTGTTTTTCCAAATTTTACTTATAAATGGACATAGTTTTTCTGCCAGGAAACATTACATTCACTCTGTGGTTAAAGTTTTTAAAATTTTAAAAACTTTCTTAAACTATCCTGGATTTGTACCAAACATGGACAGAAGTTTGTTTATGATCAAAAGCTAGTATCTAGAAGGAAATTATTATTAAAATTTTGTACTTGTTTATCCATATTTTACTTATAAATGGACTTAGTTTTTCTTCCAGTTAACATTACATACAGTCTGCAGTTAAATTTTTTAAAACATTTATTAGATTCATAAACTATCCTGGATTTTTACCAAACTTGGACAGAAGCTTCTTACAATAAAAATTTGTAAGGGTTCCGCGGACCCCAGTGTCTCGCCTACTTTTTCTGTTAATCGCAGGCTCAACAAAAATGAGGAAGTAAATCAATAAAAATATTCCACTTGATACTATCTTTTAATTGCAAGAAGCTTCTGTCCAAGTTTGGTAAAAATCCAGGATAGTTTATGAATCTAATAAATGTTTAAATCTTTAACTGCAGACTGAATGTAATGTTAACTGGAAGAAAACAAAATTTCCTTCTAGATACTAGCATTTGATCATAAACAAGCTTCTGTCCAAGTTTGGTACAAATCCAAAATAGTATAAGAAAGTTATTAAAATTTTAAAAACTTTAACCACAGAGTGAATGTGTTGTTTCCTGGCAGAAAATCCAAGTCCATTTAAAAGTAAAATACAGAAAAAATGGATTTATTTTTTTACAAAATTTACTTCTGGATACTATCTTATGATCATAAACAAGCTTCTGTCCAAGTTTGGTACAAACCCAGGATAGCTTAAGAAAGTTATTAAAATTTTAAAAACTTAAACCACAGAGTGAATGTAATATTTCCCGGCAGAAAAACTAAGTCCATTTATAAGTAAAATACGGAAAAAATGGAATTTTATTTTTACAAAATTTACTTCTGGATACTATCTTATGATCATAAACAAGCTTCTGTCCAAGTTTGGTAGAAATCCAGGATAGTTTAAGAAAGTTATTAAAATTTCAAAAACTTTAACCACAGAGTGAATATTTGTGGACGCTGCCGACGACAACGACGACGGAATGTAGGATCGCTATGTCTCGCTTTTTCGACTAAAGTCGAAGGCTCGACAAAAATTGTATCAAGAGGAATATTTTTATTAAATTTTTTCCTCATCTCATTTTTGTTGAGCCTGCGATTAACAGCAAAAGTAGGCGAGACACTGGGTTCCGCGGAACCCTTACAAATTTTTATTAATGCGAATAATGGGACCAACTGAGGATTGGAATAATAAGAACTTACATTCTGAAATCTGATACATGTACATATATCTGTAAGAAGCTTTTCCTGAAATCACTTTCAAGCAATATAGCATCAAAATCATTATGATAATTCAAGGCCCTAGGAAGAAAACTGCTATTTATAACAGTTTTAATTTAAAGACAAAGGACAATATTTTTTTATTTTACCTGATGTTCTATTTTCAGCCTTGGCATCCATGTTGATTCATCCGACACATCTTTTTGCTAGATACCCAGAGGATGATAGTGGTCAAGTTTGGTTACAATTGTACAAGTAGTTTCAGAGAAGAATTCTGTAAAAGTTTATAGACAAAGACCCAAAGATAAAGGACACCAAGTGGAGAGAGAAGCTCACATGTCATGTTTGGGCCAAGTGAGCTAAAAAGGCAGACTTTGTCATGTTTGTACAGATACCAGTACATATACCAAACAAAAAATACTTTGTTATTGAAATATCTGTTTAATAGCCTACCTGCTGGTTGTATAGCTTCAATATCCAAACCAGCTCTTCCTTTTTTCTGTAATTCTTCTGAAATTCAAACAAAATGTTTTTTTTAAAAAGACAATATACATGTAACTGGTCAGTATAGCAGGATAAAAGACTATAGAATATAGTACCTGACTGATTTGGGTCTGTTCACAGACCTCAATCAGTGACTAATTTATTTTTTTGATTTTGCCATTTGATTTGGGACTTTCCTTTTTGAATTTTCCTCGGAGTTCAGTATTTTTGTGATTTTACTTTTTATCATGAGGAGTTTTAGTTATGACAAAAATATAATTTTCATTAGAAATTTTGAGGGTAGCGAGATGTTAATCAGTGTAACACAATAATACATATGATGTTATTGACACTTTTAAGTTTATAATATTTGACACAAAACAAATTTCAAGCTACATGTAGCTATAAAACCAGCTTTAATCCACCATTTTCTACATAAGGAAATGCCTGTACCAAGTCAGGAAAATGACAGTTGTTTTCCATTCGTTTGATGTGTTTGAGCTTTTGATTTTGCCATTTGTAAAGGGACTTTCTGTTTTGAATTTTCCTTGGAAATCAGTATTTTTGTTATTTTACTTTTTACCTGATTGTTAATTTTTCACAGATGTATAAAATTAAAATATATTTCATGTATTTGATTTTTTTATTTTTGGTGTTTTAGCGCCACTTTTTAGCACCGCTTTTGGGCTATTTCGTGGCGGCCAGTTTTTATTGGTGGAGGAAGCCGGAGTGCCTGGAGAAAACTACAAACCTTCGATAGGAAAACTGACAATCCTAGTCAATTAAGATTGGAGTCGAGTGCACCCGCACGAGCGGGGTTAGAACTCACAACCTCAGTGTTGACTGGCTAGTGATTTCAGTAGTAACTACTTAGACCACTCGGCCACCGAGGCCCCAAATTAAAATATAGACTCATATAGAAGTAAGATTTCTGCAATTATTTTATCTGACCTTTTAATTATATGTACTCTTTAATAAATTCCTAATTTTATGTCATCTTGACCTTGGACTCATTGATGTATTGAGCTAAAAGTCAACAAAAATCCCTCTCCCTTAAGACATATACATTTATGTATGTTACCATTCAATATTGTTTTTCAATCCCATGTAAGTTTCTTGAGTCATCATCAGGACACCCTTTTCTGCACTTATTTTGTTTAACTATAAGTGAAATAAATATCACCATGAAGTATTGAACTCAGATATGACAAAATATAACAATAGGTGTCAGACCACCAATTCAAAATCCCTATCTATTTAACCAAATTTTGCAATTTTCACAGCTTTTTAATATTTTACCTCAAGTTTAACTTCATAGAAACCAGGTATATCCTGAATTGTACATGTATCACCTTTCTACATGTAAATTTTCAACCCATGCTTAAAGTCTTCTAAGAAAGAACTGCCTTTCGGAAGTCAAGTACTAGTAAAAATAACCCTTGGTTTTCCGGAAATCATAAATTAGTATACTATGGAGCACATTAATCCTAAATTTTTAATGAAATCTCATAGACAAGTAAATTTTGGCTCAAAATGGTCTAAATATATTTCTCTTTCACCAAAAGTTTCATTTCTGCAAATTTGTTGGTTAAAGTAAACAATGACATCAAAAGCACTATTTTGTGCCAGTGTAGGGCTACTTTTACATACGTTCTAAATTGGAGGGAGTGAATTGGTGGTCTGACACCAATATGAGGGGAGGTCTGAGGGGTCCTGATCCCGAAATCCAGGGCTTAAAAAAAATAATTCCTGAGGTCCTGAATTTAAAGAAATTGAAATCCAGATATCCCTAAATTCGAAAAAAGAATTCCCGGATCCCGAAAGGATCAATCCTGAAATCCCGAGCTTAAAAACACCCGTTCCCGGAGTCCCGATAAAGGTCCGACCCCCCCTCCAATGTGACAGAATCTATAGGTATCTTCCTCTCAATATACCTGAAATATGCATGACCATCTGAGGTTCAGATGTATTATCTGTAAACCTCCTTCCACACTTATTTCAGATATATATTTTAGTAGCTAAAATTTTAAACCAATATAGATTCTCCTCTCATTATTATCTAGCATTTGGTCTCGGGTGGATAAATTTGTATTTGTGTCATAGGAAATCATACCATATCACCTTATTTTATATACAAAGTATACATGTATGTGTATTATTTACTTGGCAAAGAGAGATAACTCATGTTATTTGATTCTCATTTCAACAAGTAAGATTGATTCTTATTTCAACAACATGAACAAGTAAGATTGATTCTCATACCAACAACATGAACAAGTAAGATTGATTTTTACTTCAACAACATGAACAAAGATAAAGAAATTTAAAAGCAGATTTCACTAGTAGATTTTTTTTAAGGATTTGCTACTACATAAATATTTATATCTTTAGTGACTGGTCATTACAATTATGTTCCTGTTTAATTCATTTTAAACTTGTTTTAAACTGGGGATGGTTTATTGTTAAGATGCCTGTCTATTATTGAAGATCATTTGTTTCATTTTCTTACTTTTGATATTAAAAAAGCAGTACTTGATATAATAATGCAAAACAAGCAGCACTTTTCCGTTTCTATTTGTTTTTAAATTTCTCATTCATGTCATTTGGGGTCTATTATAGCTTACTATGCGGTATGGGTTTTGCTCATTGTTAAAGGATGTATGGTGACCTATATAGTTGTTAACTTCTTTGTTATTTGGTCTCTGGTGGAGAGTTGTCTCAATGGCAATCATACCACATCTTCTTATTTTCAAATTCGATTATTTCCATAATAATGGAAAAGAATCTTAATTGATTTTCTTGATCTTGATGGAATAAGATTTCACGTCCTTGGTCATGCTGGACATTACTGCATTTACGTGTGTCAAGGTTAACAACTTACATGTACTTACAACATGGGACCCCCGTTACAATTTCTTAGCTTGTTCTTCCACAAATACATAAATGTAGCATCTTGGTGATGATACAAATGTATCAGGAGGTACATGTAGGAGGTTCCAATCTTTAAATTGTATTTGGTAAGAATCTGAATTTCAAGGTGTCTGTCTTGGCTGGAATTCTGAGAAAGTGTTAACTATGCATGTTCTTTGCTATAAATTCAAGTTATTACCATAACAATTTTAGGATTCAAATCTAAAAGGAATTTGTTTTTATAGCAACTATAAGATTGGTTACCATGTGTGGTTACTTTTGTCTGTCATACATTATGATGTACATATGTATGAGAATAATCAAATGCTAACATTGGCATGTCTATTCAGCAGGATTAAACTCTATTACATGCAAGTAAATCTGTTAGTGGGGCCATGAGGTGAGTTGGCAGGTCTATATAGTTTCAGTGGGAATTAACTTCTTTTGATTAATTGGACAAGTTGGCTGGTCTATTCAGCAGGATTTCTACTGGAGTATTAGTCCAAATAATTATGACGTCTTGAAAGGCTATTATATTTTTTTGCTTTGACGCATAATTATTTGGACTACTTGAGTCTAGGAATGCCCTTTACTGTCAGGCGTCAAACGGTCAATTTCAGTTACTGTTAGCATCAAATTGGTTAAAATTTTACTGTGATTCGTCAAAATATTCTTAGCATGATTCGTCAGAGCAGAGACATATCTGGTCAGAGGTCTCAAATAATTATCGTTACCGTTAATTTTGGAAAAAATCTAAGTGATTCGTCAAAATCAGTTGATTTTTTAATCGCCTAAAAGAAAGTGTACATTTTATCGTCATGCACCAACAATTACCGTTAACGTCACTTGGCAAGAATTTTTACCGTTATTCGTCATGAAGGTACCCCCCCCCCCCCCCCCCCCATTAAGACCCTCCTACTTCAGATTCGTTAGTGGAGCCAGCTGGTAGTTGGTGCGAGATGCTTGTGTTACTTCATACTGGGCCAACCGGCGTAACTCATTCATAAAAGTTGACTCGACATTTTGTCTATGGCCATCTTACATAAACTAACTATATTTATCTACGTTCATCATTGGGTAAATGGCAACTGCATACATGAAACCTCCAATTGAACCGACAAAGACACCCCAAAATGCTGCCAGACGCCAACCCGTCATCGAAACTGTTTTAGGTTGACGAAACATTGCGTTTAATGTTATTTTTCAACCTCGTGTAATTTGTCTTTGGCAACCGGATGTTGACATTTCCCCAAAAAAAAAGGATTTCGGAAAGTCTCGGTTTTCTTCTTAATTACTTGGTTTTTTTTAACTTTTTGTTTAAATTTAATAGATTATCCATATTTCTCCTAGTCACAACTTTGATCTTTCAACCAATGTCAGTTCATTTAAAAGTTCGTCTTTTTTATCATGTTTATTGAGTGAAATATTTTTTTGTATGACGAACTATTTTGTATACTAATTTTCAAGTGAAATAAATAAACGGACGACTTTGTTTGTTTTCCGTACAATAAAATGGGATGTATTTTTTTTAAAAGGCAAGCAATTTCTTGAGTTGAGACTTTGATATTCTTATTACTAAACATTACCGCGATAGGTTTTAACTAAGTAAATCACATTTTCATCGTTTTTCGTTTTTTGCTATTGTGTTGTGACTAGTAACTGTTAGAAGATACATATGAATTGATAAATTACAAAATATACTATATATATTAAATAGCAGATTTTACCACGACATATTCTTTCATCGGACTATATCTGTGAGCTTGTAGACATCGAAAATGACACTGAGTCGATATTTATTAAAATATCACTACATAACAACAAATCGCTCATCATTGGTAGTATATATACAGACCACCTAGCAGTGACAATAACTACATGGAGAACCGTGACTAAACTTACAGTGGATAACTTGATTAGAAAGAACAGATCATCAGTAGTTTGGTTTGTACTTTCCTCGACCTAGGACAAGACAATCACCTGGAACAGGTAGTCAATTTTCCCAAAAGAAAAAAAAAAACCACGCTAGACCTATTTCTAACAAACCCATGCCAAGAAATTGCCTCCGTTGAAATTTTGCAAACATCCAATAGAGCAAATTACACGGATGATTAATATTGACCATTTGGTATATGGCTGTGTTCTAAGCGACACGTATATGCAGGTCATAAATTAATTTGTTGAATGAAATCAAATCTTTAACTACTAATGGGTGCCGTAGGAGGTCGACCGGAATTTTTAGCGAGGATTTCTTGGCATGCGACCTTCATTAGTGAATCGATGCGAGCCATTACCGGCATTGGCGACCATGACATCATATACATCGACACTGATATAACAGCTAAATTCAGAAAACCCGGGAAGAGAAAAATATTTATTTGGAAAATGGCAGATGCTATAGAACAAGGTGAAAAAGCTAGGCCTTGAAATTAAATGCAAACTTTAAAGAGAATGTCAGCAAACCTGTGAAGAGAAAAATATTTATTTGGAAAAAGGCAGATGCTATAGAACAAGGTGAAAAAACTAGGAAATTAAATGCAAACTTTAAAGAGAAATTTAACAAGGACAGCCCTATAACTGAAATGTGGAAATTTCTTAAATCAAACTTACTTAATTACCATACTTGAAGAAACAGTACCATCGAAAATGTCATCTTCAAGATTCAACCAACCATGGATAAACCAAGAAAATAAAAAACTAACAAGACAGAAAAGGAGGAGCTTTGAAAAAACAAGAAAGACCAAAAGAAAATCTGATCTTGACAGATACCATCGACTGAAAAGCTTAAATGACAACACAGAAAGAATATAGGAAGGCGTATAGAGACTACATTAACGACATCACTGATCCTGAATTATCAGCAAATCCTGAAAGATTCTGGGGATTTATTAAACGTAAGAAATGCGAATCTGTTGGAGAATGCGAATCTCTCAAAGATACAGATGTACTCGCATACTCAGAAAGTGAAAAAAAAGGCAAATATTTTAAACGACCAATTTTCCATAATATTCAACACCAGTGAGGATATCAATACCATTCCTGATAAAGGAGAGAGTCCACATCCAACAATGAACAAAATACATGTAACTGAAAATGGTGTATTAAAATGGTTAAGTAACTTGGATATCCACAAAGCAGCTGGTCCAGATGAGATTCCAACAAGACTTCCAAAAGAGCTTGCACCATGGTACCTGGCAGCAACATTTACCACGTTCTTTCAAGCATCAATCAATCAAGGCGCCATACCTCCAGATTGAAAAGAAGTCTTTGTTGTACCAAGGCCTATTTTCAATACTTTACTGATAACCAAAAAAAAAATATTACCTTTAGCTCGATCAGTAAGGTTTAAGACGAGGTCATTCTTGTCAAACCACTCTGATGACGAATGCATGGTTAAAGTTTTAGACAATGGAGAAAATTATAGTTGGTGCTGTGTATTTTATTTAGAAGGCTTCTCATCTTATCAACCATGCCATATGTTATTCAAATAAATTAGAAAATTTGCAATTGGAAGCCGCAAGAATTGTAACAGGTCTACCAATCTTCACTAAAACTGATACTCTGTACTCTGAGGTTGGCTGGGAATCTTTATATGAAAGACGAAGAAGAAGAAAATTACAGATGTTTTATAATATAAATAAAAAAACATGCACCACAGTACCTGTGTAATCTTGTTCCCCCATGTATACAAAGTACAACCAACTATCCGTTGCGAAACGGTCAAAATATCATTGTTCCATTTTGTAGACTTTCCCTTACCACTGAATCTTTTATTCCATCCACAATACGAGAATGGAATAAGCTTGACTTAAAAATTCGAAACACCGACTCTATATCTAAATTTAAGAGAGAATTGAAAAATGAAAGTGTTCAGAGTAGAGTTGCGTCGTATTATATGTACGGTCCGAGGAAACTGAATATCATTTTAACTCAATTGCGATGTTACGCTTCAATTCTGAACTCTGACCTTTTCAAAGCTAACATTATACTGGATCCTTCGTGTCAGTGTGGGTCTGATATTGAGGATGTTCATCATTTTCTTTTAGTTTGCCCAAAATACACTACATGTAGAGAAATTTTACTTAACAATCTTAATTGGCTTACTGAAAACTTTATTATTGATACTAAACTATTAACTTGCGGAGATCTTGAACTTTCGAATGAACAAAATCTCCTAATTTTCAAACATGTTCAAGATTTTATTAAAAGGTCTAACAGATTTCTAGTACCTTCATAAAATATTATTGCTACCGGCACGGATGATCATCACCATCAAACCTAAGTCAACATCACAGAAAATATAATTTGCTTCTTTTTTTTTTCTTCCTTTTCCATTCTTCTTGTTCTTTTTTTCTTTTTATTTATAGTTCGTATAATATTTAATGAATTTGTTAGCTTTACATGCATGCTCATAATGTTATTATTGTATATATACTTGTATTGTAATATGGAGAAGACTTCATAAGTATGATTTACTTGTGTCTCATCCATTTTGCTGATATTTAGCAAATAAAATATGTTTAAACTAAACCATGCCATACTTTTAGAACATCTCAGATTTGATAATTTCGGAGATCATATGGTAAATTCATGTTTTTCTAAGAGGCAACAAGAATTTCAATACGTGAATATTAAATCTGATAGAAAGTTTGGGAACTGGAATGCCTCATTATACTCTATTTTATTTGTAATTTATATCAATGATTTACCACCACATGGATTTAAAAAGACTCTAAACAACTTCTGGAAATTTTTCAAAACTCTGTCATTCTCTGAAAATGATTTTATAAAACCTTTGATTTATTTTACCCTGTTAACCAAAATACCACATGAAAAATTGAAAACCTGCGTAAAAGAAATAATCCACAATGATTTTCTCCGTAAAAAGTGTACTGCATACGTTACAAATGTATTGTTTTGGAATACAATTCGGCATATTTTGTTAAAAAAGAAGAGGATAAAACATGCTACACCAAAGAACAAGTGATCAGCATGCTGGAGTTTATGATTGATAATTTAACTTATTTGTTGGCATTCTTATGGGAACCAATTCAGTCTGTGTCTCTTTTTGCCGACCTTTTCTTATTTTTAAAAATGATTCGTAGTTTCGTCAGACACTTGTTAAAAACAAGAAGACCAAAGGAGCTAGATAACATATTTTTAATACACATACAGGTATAGATCGATGATGTTCTTTCCTTCAACCAAACTTTTCTGATTGTGTCCCTTTAATATATCCCCACACTGAACTAGTTAGTCGGAGACCAAATGATTATTTTATATCATGAAAACGGAATTTTATGTATCAACAACATATATTTTTTTTTAAGAAAAATCTACGGATTTGAAATTGAGATTTGATGATTTTAAGAAAAATTTGAAAACGTTTTCCGCCGATTTTATGTGCTTTCTACACACATGTTCACCTAGTACATGTAGAAAGAATTCAAATTGGTAATATTTTTTCGATTTCAGTTATAGTTCAACGAGCCAAAGTTGTATGCAAAGTTCTAGAAAAGTCTGTAACGTAGCCAATTTACTGTTACTAGACCTTAAAGTAAGTTCCTTTGGGTAAATGTCGGCAATACATTACTTAACGAAAAAATCTCGTCAAGACAACGGTAAGTGTTGTAACAGTTGAATTTATCAATTAAGTGGAATTGAGACGGATCTCTACTGAGTTTGGCAATAAACTGATTCATAAAAAAAAAACCAATACAGCAACAAGTCTGCTATTAAAGGGACACATCTGGTGTCCATAGGAATACCTACTACCTCTCGATAAACTTTATTGCCGAAGCGTACATAAATGTTGTCAAAAGGAGGAGAAAATTTACAGCTTTAATTATCTCATCACACCTCCAGTAAGATCCAGTAAGTATATCCAGCATATTTACCTTTCTCATTAGAGAAGAAGTACTCCTTTATATGAATTTCAGCAAATAAATTTGCAATCAGATTTTTCAACGACCATTTAATCAAAACCCCGCACCCACCCGGTTTGATTAGATTGTCATGGAAGTGTAATATAAAGAGTTGAAAAGTAAAAACTGTCAACCGAATTAAAAGGACTATCAAAACCTTTTAATTTATCTACGGCATCCAATGATTTTTTTACACTCTAAAAATATTAAATTCCGCTATTTCCATATGTTTTATTACAAAAGATGATAAGTCCTTTGATAATGGTTAAGGAACTAGTTAAAAGCACTGAACGATTAGTTGTAGAACACTTACTAGAGGTCGAGATGAAACGATATTTTG